ACCCTAGTTCAAAGAGCTCCTCTTATGTTCCCAGCCATGGGTGGTCTAATAATGGGGTTCTATTAAATATTAAGTATCAGAGGGGTAGCCGTGTTAGTCTGAATCTGTAAAAAGCAACAGAGGGTCCTGTGGCACCTTTGAGACTAACAGAAGTACTGGGAGCATAAGCTTTCGTGGGTAAGAACCTCACTTCTTCAGATGTCTAATATTAAATATTAGACATGCATGGAAACACCACACCTTGTGCAAGCCCCTTCCCTGCTCGGTCTCACCAGAGCACAACTACTACTTACCTGGGACCACACCCTGCTCTCCAGCTCTGTGCCACTTCACCGTGCCAGCATTGCTCCAAACCCTTAAAAGCACAGGGCACATGTAAATAGAATCCATTAATCCCCACAGCGTTCATTAAGGAACTGCCAGATAATCCCGTTCTGACCAGAAACACAGAGCTCCTGGCAGTGTCAGCCACACCCCTGTGCACGGCAGCAGAGTAAGGCCCTGGCAGTGAGCAGGGCCCATAATGCACACGTCCCTTTTTTATATTTTGCACAATTGTGGTTAAGTGGGAGAATTCTTGTCTCCCATCCAGCAGTCCTGGGCTTAATTCACTGCCAATGCTAAGCTGAGTTTTCTGAGCAAAGGCTGAAGGAACTGGGTATGTTTAGTTTGCAAAAGAGGACATTCAGGGAGGATATGATAGCAGTCTTCAAATATAGGGTTACCATACGTCCGGTTTTTCCCGGACATGTCCGGCTTTTCAGCAATCAAACCCCCGTCCGGGGGGAATTGCCAAAAAGCCGAACGTGTCCGGGAAAATGCCGGCCAGGCACTTCCCCTCCCGCGGCTGCTCTGCTCTTCCCCTGACTCTCCGGCTCTGTTTAAGAGCCGAAGAGTCAGGGGAGGAGCAGAGCCTCCGTCCGCGGCGGCTCTGCTCCTCCCCGACTCTTCGGCTCTGTTTAAGAGCCGAGCTGCCCGAGTGCTATGGGCTTCAGGCAGCCCCCTTGCCTCCAGACCCCAGCCGCTGACCGGGCACGCCCCCTCCTGGGCTTCGGCGGTGCAGGGTCCGGAGGCATGGGGGCTGCCCGAAGGCAGTAG